CCACTCTCACCACTGGTCCTGAAGGGATCATTTGTCCTGGATTCCCTGTGTTTCCATTTCCTATCTGTACCAGTGTACATCCTCTGGTCTAGCCAGATTTGTAAGGTAGAATTGGGATCATGATAGTGGGGGGATCGGAGGATGGGGAGGAAGCATTTAGGAACTACAGGAAAGTTTTATGTTTCATCATTGCTACACTGCATCCTGACTGACTCGTCTCCTCCCGGCGACCCTTCCGTAAGGGGATGTCTGGTTGCCTACAGATGGGCTTTGGGTCCCCACTAACGTAAGTTTTTTTCCTTATATTTGTCTAATAGATTGTATGGAACTTGAATCTTTTTTTTTTTTTTGGAACTTGAATCTTATGACTTAAAAATTACTTTTTACAAAATAATAATAATTTATAAATTATCAAGAGTTTGTGAGGGGGTGGGGAATGAGGATCTGATACCAAGGGCTCAAGAAGGCAAATGTTTTGAGAATGATGATAGAAACAAATGTACAAATGTGCTTGAACCAATGTATGTATGTAAGGATTGTGATAAGAGTTGTACGAGCCGCCAATAAAATGATTTTAAAAAGAAAAAAAATATTTTAAAAAATTGATTTATTCTGAGGAATTGCTTGACTTGTGTAGTCTTGCTTGTTGCAACTCAGGAAGTGCACTGCAAACTTTCATTATAAAAGCAAAATCAAGAAATTACTCTACTTTTTATTGGTATGAAAATATTTCATCAAGGGTTAACAAGGGTGGGGAGGGAGGGGAAAAAGAGGAGCTTATATTAAGGGCTCAAGTAGGAAATGTTTTGGAAATGATAATGGCAACATGTACAAATATGTTTGATACAATTGATGTATGAAAAGTTATAAGAGCTGTAAGAGCCACCAATACAATGATTTTTAAAATAAAGTCAAAAAAGGCTTACAAAAAATGTTTCTATCCCAATAAAGTCAATTTTTTTGCAGCAGAAATAATATTAGCATATATAAACAAAAAAAACCCATTGCAATAGAGTCAATTGAAATTAATAGTGACTCAGTAAATCTGCCTCTATGTTATTTCAGTGTAAATGAATATATTGGCAATAGTTAAGATAGTTGCCATGAAAAACCCATCCAATTTATATGTAAATTGGGTATGATTTATATATAATTGGATGTAAAAAAATTTAATTGCCATTGAATCCATTCTGGCTCATAGTGACTCTGTAGGGCAGAGCAGAAACTGTCCCATAGGGTTTCTAAGGCTGTCAGTTTGTTGTTGTTTTACTCAACAGCAACTTTATTGTTTGGGGGTATTTTTTTTTTTAGGCTGTAAGTTTTTACAGGAACAAAAGCACATCTTTCTCCTGAGGAGTGGCTGGTGGGTTCAAACTGCTGACCTTGAGATGAGCAGCCCTACTTGTAGCCTACTATGCTACCAGGGCCCCTTTTCACAAATACAGGAAAGTACAAAATATTTTAAAGCTCTTCTCTCTATGACAACAGAGTATAATATACTAGTATTATCAAAGGAGCATTAAAAGAGCTATTCAAAATGCCCTAATAATAAATAAAAGGCAATTGAATTAAGGGGAAAACAGAAAACTCTACCAACAGCTAAATAATGAGGCACCAGCGTGTTCTAAGGACAATATGAGGGGTTACTAAAAAAAAACAAAAAAAAATAAACAAATGCACAGGGCAGAGGGAAGCTTTCATAGTACACATTTTTCCCCAATAGGTGAGCATCAAGCAACTCGCTCAGAGTTAGTGCACCTAGTGGCGTTGCCTGGGAAAGTTCTCCATGGTCACAGTGAATTTTTTTGTAAAAGCAGTTTTGCTTGAACTTCATTTTTGTGATGCCCATTTTAAGAGAACAGTGTTGGCTGTGAAATTTTGTGTCCTGCTCGGGAAAAATGCCACAGAAACTGTTGTGATGTTGAACAGCATACAAGGACAGTGCTGCGGGAAAAACTCAAGCGCACGAGTGGTTTTCTCATTTCAAAAAAGGCGAAATGTCGATTGATGACAAACCTTGTTCTAGACATCAGTCAACTTCTTGAATGGACAAAAATGTTGACTCACAGTGCATTTGGAATTCATTCCATCAGGTCAGATTGTTAATCAGCTTTCTATTTAGAGGTTCTGAAAAGGTTGCATAACAGTGTGCAACAAAAACAGCCTGATCTGTGGCAGGCAGGAGACTGGTTTTGCCACCATAACAATGCACCTACATATGCAGCCATCTCAGTGCACTTTTTGGCAAAAAATAGAATGCCTCTCTTGCCCCATGCACCTTACTTACCTGACCTCATTCTGTGCGATGTCTTTTTGCAACTTTTTTTTTGGTTCCAAGAATGCAGAGGGACATGAGAGTACAGCAATTTGACGACTTAGAAGAAGTGAAGAAAAAATGGAGGGAGGTACTGTCAGCCAGATGAGTTTGGAGTTTGAAAAATGTTTCTAAGAATGGAATCACAGATTTGACCAATGTATTAAGTGTAATGTGAGTACTTTGAAGGTGATAAGGTTGTTTTGTAAAAAATTTAAATACATAGCTCTGAAATAAAAATTCTTTGTGTGTGTGTGGGGGGGTTGTTTGTATGTACTTCCTCATATGTCAGCAGTCATTTCCAAGCGGTGACTGGGGCTTACCGCACAGTCAGATTCAGAGGAACCATAGGAGTTTCAGGGTTGTACAAGCACGTTTAAAGGAACATCTGACATGAAATAGATTCATTGAACGTGGCATGAGTTGGTGTTATTTGTCTTGGCTTAACCCAGAATGAAGGATATGCTCCTTTTTCTTCTGGAAGCATAATTTAACATTTTTATTTTTTTGTTAGGGATCATATACAATGGTCAAAAGAAGAAGAAGCATCAGCCAGGGAAAAAGTAGAAGAAAACTCAGCTGTGCAAATCCTCCTGGAAGAGCAAGGTAACTGACTGCATGTGGTAACTCCTGGGGCCAGACTTTTCAGTTTGACCTCCAAGGGATTCAGTGCACACCTTAGTGTCCATTCACCCTAACTGTGCCATTACTTTGAGACTTTCTATCTACGCCAATTTGCTTGTTCCACTGGTCTTCCTTTGTAGTCAGACCAAGGTTAATGAAACTAATGGTGCTTTCACCTTCTAATTGGTCTTTTGGCCGCTATATTGCTTTTTTTTCTTTCTGAGAAACACACACAGTGGTATTTCAAACAAGAAATGTAAATAGAACTTTAAAAATTTCCTCTTGCTACACGTAGTATGCTTTTATCCATTTCACTTTCTTGGATCTTTCCACAAATTCAAAATGTTGTTGGACTTTTAGGAAACTTAAAGTTTCAACAAGGATTGAAGGTACTTTTCTTACAGGCCTTTAGAGTTTAAGTAAATTGGCCTTGCCAATCTTCATAGTGGTGGTTTTAAAATTTTGATTTATGCCCTTTTAATCACATAGCCAGGAATATAAATTTTCCTCAATTTATGTACCCTCCAGATAGGATTTTTATTAACCTTGTGTTTCTTAAAAGGATTTCTCCTTTAGTACAGTTTGGCTATTTTCTTTCTTCTTTAAAAAAAAAAGTCTATTGAAGTGAACAGAAATGAACACAAATCTTAAATGGATTTTCACAAAGTGAACACACTCAAGTAACCAGCATGTATCTAAGGAAACAAAGTACCAGTAACCCAGAATCTCCTTTATTCTTCTTCCCTATTATAATAACCAATTTCCCACCCTTTACCTCACAAGGAGCAATCTCTATTCTGATTTCCAATACCGTAGATTGGTTTTCCGGAACAGTTTAGTTCTTGTTATCATCATTTCTCAATCATCTCGATAGCAGCATAGTGTCACTCAGTCAAAATCTATGACTTAAGTCAAATCTGGCTCTCGGCCTGTTTTTACAAATAAAAATTTATTGGAACCACAGGTACACTCATTCATTTAAAAATGTCTGAGGCACTTTTAAGGTGTCACCACGGAGGCAAGTAGTGGCAACAGAGACCATATGGCCTGCGAAAAAGAAAAGATTTACTAACTGGCCCTTTACCAAAAAAAATTGCCAAAGTTTTGTTTCTAGATCTATTAGTTGTCCTAAACTCCCCAGATAAAGATATTTACATTCTTCTGTAGAACGCAAGTATAATAAAAATCACATATATCACTGATCGGTAACTATTGCCCTAGTGACTTTAGTCTACAATTGAGGCTGAGATTGAAAGCCAAGGTAGCTATGGAAACTGAGTGAATGAGACATGAGTTCCTTTACTAGTAAAGGGGACGGTGGTGACCTGTCCTAGCCTCTGGGATCCTTTGCTAGTCCTTAGCTCCCATTCTCTTTCCTCATCTTAAATATTACTGTGTCTTCCCGGGTGGGCGGGAAGAGCCGCTGATCCACGAGAGGACCATTTTATTTTGATGAGCTCTAGCTGTGCAGTCAGAGAGGGTTGGGTTGGTTTGAGGGTGTGGAGCAGCCAGCGTTGCATTCCTCTGCAGAAACTCTCACACGGTTTCGGAGGAAGTATTAGCTCTGCTGCTTTGCCAGCAGCTGCACAGACATATTTTCCACATTACTCAAGCTTCTGCTACGGCCACCTGGATATGACAGTGAGAGTCAAGCCCAGAATGAATGAAAGTTATCTGTCATCTTAGTTCATTTCCAGGATGTTAAGAATTATCCACAGTATATTTCCTGACAATGTAAGAAACTAAAAAAAAAATTTTTTTTCAACTTCTTTTGAATATTTCTCTTTAGAACATGAATAGATGAACAGCACTGATAATGTTCTCTTAAAGTGTTCTGCACATGGCTGCCTGTTTTGGCCTATTTATGTTAACAATGAACTTGAGTGTAACTAATGAGAAGGTTATTTTGGGGCCTTGGAAACGGCAGTAAAGGAAAATGACAGTTCCCACAGAACCATAATGTGACTGAAATAGAAAAGTGGTGACTGGCCTCTCTCTATAGAAGCAGGAAAAGTAGGCTGTGAGCACTGATGATACTGCTTTGAAGCATTGGGTTTGCTTATTAGCATGTCCAGTCTCTTTCTGAGCAAGTTTTCTGTCTGCGGTGGAGACACAGAACAAAAGATTCCATTTGAAATTACTCAAAATGGTAGAGGTTCTGCTGGGTCCCCTGTATGTCCCTTCTATAACTCTGCTCAGTATGGTAGACTATGTACATGTCAGAGAACTGATCGAGGGAGCGGAACACATGATAGGGTGACCGTCTCATCATAACTAAGCAAGGATGACTAGTATAACCATGCTGAGGCTGATGTGCGGATCCCCGCCCCCGCGCCCCCCCCACCCCAGGAACTATGTTGCATGCTGGGACCTTGTTGTGTGCTGTTTAGTCAGTTCCTACCAATACCAAAAAAACCCCAACCTGTTGCCAGTTGCTTCTGTGATAAGAGCAGACTGGTCCCAGAGGGTTTCCTAGACTTGATGGAAGGAGCCATCGTAATACAGTGGCTAACGTGCTCTGCTGCTAACCAGAAGGTTGTCTGATTGACACCACTAGGCTCTTCACATTAGAAAGATGTGGCATACAGCCTTCATAAGGATTTCCAGGCTACTCTGTCCTGTAAGGTCACTGTGACTCGGAACCGACTTGGCAACAATAGATTTGGTTTTGTTTGTTTGTTTTTGGTAATCTTTATGCGAGCAAATTACAAGGTCTTTTCTCCTTTCGGGCTGAGCTGCTGGTATCTTTGAATCACTGACCTTTCAGTTAACAGCCAAGCATTTCACCAGTTGTGCACCACCAGGACTCATTGATGGAGCCTGGCAGTGAAAACGGAATACCTACCTACACAATTAATCTAATTTCTGTTAGAGATTAGATCCACTGAGGGTTCTGATTTAATAATTAATGCCTCTGATGAATATAGGCCAAGGTTAAACCATTTAAAAGCTCTGCTCCCAAACTTTGCTAGATCCTCAGGGAGTCTTGACATGCTTACATCTACCTTTGTCTTTGTAACCTACTGTCTCATTTTCTCTAGATTCCTACCTTTGAAAATGATTAGTTTTCTCATATCACAAAGTATGTCATTCACAGATTATATACACCCTGAGCTCTCTCTATTGACCTTCTCTCATTTATTTGAGTGCCATTGGGAAGAGGTAGTGGTTGTTTGCTCTTGTGGTCAACTCTCCAATACATTTCTTGCAGTCTCTGCATATGTTGCTGTCATGGTTAGATTTTTTGTCAACTTGCTTGAGCCAGGATTCTCAGTCATTTGGTACTTTGCTGTTGCTAGACTCGACTCTAACCCATAAGGATCCTATGTACAACAGAACAAAACACTGCTTAGTCATGCTCCATCTTCACAGTTGTTCCTATGCTTGAGTCCATTGTTGAAGCAATTGTGTCAATCCATCTTGTTGAGGGCCTTCCTCCTTTTCTCTGCCCCTCTTTTATCAAGCATGATGTCCTTTTACAGGGATTGATCTCTCCTCACAACATGTCCAAAGTACGTGAGACCGAGGCTCACCATCCTTGCCTCTAAGGAGCACTCTGACTCTACTTCTTCCAAGACAGATATATTTGTTCTTTTAGCAGTCCATGATACTTTCACTATTCTTCCCCAGCACCACAATTCAAATGCATTGATTCTTCTTTGGTCTCCTTATTCAATGTCCAACTTTCATATGCATATGAAACAATTGAAAATACTATGGCATGGGTCAGCTGTACCTTACTCCTCAAAAGACATCCTTGCTTTGCAGTACTCTAAAGAAGTCTTGTGTAGCAGATTTACCCAATGCAATACGTCATTTGATCTCTTGGCTGCTGTTTCCATGAGCATGTATTGTGGATCCAAACAAGATGAAATCCTTGACAACTTCATCTTTTTCCTCCACTTATCATGATGTTGTCTCCTGGTCCAAATGTGAGAATTTGGGCTTTCTTTACATTGCAACCCTTACTGGAGGGTGCAGGCCTTGATCTTCATCAATAAGTGCTTCAAGTCCTACTCACTTTCAGCAGGCAAAGTTGTGTCATTTGCATATATCAAGTTGTTAATAAGTCTTCCTCCAATCCTGATGCCACATTCTTCTTCATATAATCCAGCTCTCTGATTATTTGCTTAGCATACAGATTGAATAAGTACAATGAAAGACTTGTCACTTAAGAACTAGTAATCCCCCATGATGTAACCTAATATAATTCATAATGGGATCTGCCATGAACAGCTAATCAGTTGTAAGAAGATTCTATCCCAACCCTGAGGCAATCAATTGTAATCGATTTCTTATAATTCCTCAAGGGTATGGTCTGCTTCCAATATCAGTAGTTGCTATGGCAAAGCTTGTTTGCTTGCTTTTGACTGAGCCTGGATTCTGTATCTGCCTCATCACAGGATCTGTTCTTTGGACAGGAACTAATAGCCTGTCATCTGACCTACAGACCTTGAACTCATTTGTCTCTGCAGCTGAAAGCATGACCTGCTGCCCTTGATTTACTCACTTGTGCAATCACTACTCTCTCACCTTCTTTCTGATCTTGGGTTCAAAAGCCCCAAGGAGTCAGGAAAAGCCTCTAACCTAACATCTGACTCACACACAAATCTGCTCAGATTTGGACTTGCCTGCTTCTACTTATACAAAATGTGTGATCCAGTTTCTTTATATGAATTTCTCTTTATCTATCTATCTATCTATCTATCCATCCACACACACATATATAAACTTAACTGATTTTGTTTCTTGAGAGAACCTAGCTTAAGACAGTTTCTCCTGTCACACCCATTTCCCATTTCTTACCTACAGTCTCAACTGTTGATAGAATAGAAATTAGAATACTGTTACAATTCTGAAAATGTATCCATCATTCGTAATAATCTTTTGTTAAGATATGGTATGTTTCATATCTGTGATTAAAATACATAGCAAATAATACTCTCTGTGTTAGGCAGGTTGGACTATAGAAACAAATTCAT